CAAAAAAAAAAAAAAAGAGGAAGAAGAAGACAGCGGGGGAAAGGAGGCGAGGGAGGCAAGGAAGAAGAAGGGGATTGGCGAGGAAGAAGAGCCGGCAGCCATAGCTGACCGGGGAGTTGACCGAGAGGGTTGACCGGAGGAGTTGACCGGAGTTGACCGATGTTGATCGAGGGTCATAGCAGCGTTGACCGGCGTTGACCAAGGCGTTGACCAAGACTTTGACCAAGCTGGAGTTGGTAACATCTCGCTAAGCCCTTAGCCTACCCCTTGCCCTATGGATGTGCACATACCCCCCGATACTTGCTGAGTACAGTCTGTCTGTCTATTCTTTCGACATTGAGTCTCTTCTGTCCTAGGTCATAGAACTCTGTGGATGAAGGATAGGGCCTTGCTGCCAAACCTGCACGGGACTTAGTAGGACTAATCTCTACTCTGGTATCTGGAGACCTGGGCATGAGCGGCGAGCGCTCGTTAAACAACTCGTCTAGCCCAATGACCGGTACTGTCCGGCAGGTCTGCTCAGTTTCAGTGTAGAGGGTCCGAACTCCGAGCTGCAGGCTGAAACGGAGGCCGTCTTTAAGTGTTGAGGGCCTGTTGGAACCACTCCCCTACTGGACCAAGTAAGGTTGAGGATCTGTGTCTGACGACTCGACTGTCCCGGAGGTCAAACCCTCCCAAGGACCGGTACAGACTGGCGGGCGGTGTGGCACAGTAGGCTGGAAAGGCTAAGTTGTGGGCTGAAAGCACAGGCADAACCAAGCTGATCACGTCGTCCTGTCTGTGACGTTAAAGAATTCTTGAGGAGTTACGGGGGATCTCCTTAAATGCCTCCTGATCAGCCACTGGTTCAGTAGTGACAGCCATAGCATAGGTCTAGGCTAGAGACCATAGTTGACAGGGTCCTTGTTAAGATTCTGTGAGTCTTAGATTGAGTCAGTAGGTGTGTCAGTCAGGGGTTGACGTCTACGTGGTGAGGTTTGGAACCACTAACCCGGTTGTACACTTATCACCATGGTTGAGACCCGTAGTGGGAAGGAGACTAGCCCCTACACCACTGAGCAGCAAGAAAAGATGGCCGCCTTAGTCAGAGAGAGTAAGGAGAAGAAAGAGCGTGAAAAGCAAGCCAAGCTAAAGGCTATCGCAGAGGAGCAGGCGGCGAAGATGAAGAGATTGGAGGAGGAGATGAAGAGGGTACAACAGGAGGAGGAAGAAAGAAGGAAGGCTGCTGAAGCAGAAGCGGCAACAGAAGAAGAGAAAGAAAGGATGAGAATTGAGAGTGGGGGAGGAAGTAGTGGTGGCACGATGAAGTGGGAGACAGATACTGAGCTGGAGAAGAAGATCAACGAGTGGGTCGCTAATTTATCGTTGGGGGAAGACGAGGAGGCGGAGTCCTATGTGACTAAGGATGAGAAGGTTGCGCTGGCCGCTGAGCTAGCAGCCATGACAAACCCAATGGAACGAAGAGAGAGGGAAGACGAACAAAAGTTAGCATGGAAGTTGAGAATGAAGAGGGAGAAGAAGAGGAGGAGAGAGGAAGTGAATAAGATGACCGCCGCAGTGGCAAAGGTGCAGG